ATTCTATTTTTCAGCTGACTACGATGCAGCATTCTACCTTGCATTCTCCGAAATGAAGCAAAGAAGCGAAATAAAAAAAATATTGTAGGACATTCTACTTTGCATTCCCTGAAATTAAGCAAAGAAGCGAGACAAATAAAATATTGTAGGACATTCTACTTTGCATTTCCGGAAATGAAGCAAAGAAACGAATTAAAAAAGAAATATTATAGGACATTCTACTTTGCATTCCCCAAAATCAAACAAAGAAGCGAAATAAATAAAATATTGTTGGACATTCTACTTTGCATTACCGGCAATGCCTAAAAGAAGCAGAAAAATTCGAAGGCATTATAACGCTATGCCTTCTAGAACACGTTACCACTAAAAGCGATTACCGATTTTTTGCTGGGTATTTACATCCATGATAAAAACATAGTAAGGTAGAACCGTTCTCTCAATTCGTCGGCCATGATTTTATTTTTGAAGTTTGCGAGCATTTAAAAATCATATACTAAAACTGTCTCTCGGCGGTTCTATCTTCCTTTATTTTTTATCATGCTTGCATCCATATTTCGTTGAAACTCTCACGCAGTGCGTGTTATACTTTCGAAAAGAAAAACTTCACTCTAAGTACTGGATGAGGCGCAATGGATTCGGAATGTTTTTCGTCACAACAACTTTTTTCATAAAGTTCGACATATTTTAGAAAGTTTTAGATTCGATATTCCATTACCACGTCCGCAGCTAGAAGATCGTTAGCAGTATTCTCTCACTCCAGCTAATTAGAATGTGTTGTGAGGGCTGATTGTCCTACCAATGGGGGTTTAGGATTTCTGCCCTATCAACATCTCATATTGGGTCTTATCGAGAGCGTTGTGTGAAACTTAAGCCAATCTGAAATAAACCAACTATTACTACTTTAGGTCTGACAAATGAGGCATGGACTAGATACTCGTTTTGGTTCCAAAGAACCATGTATATAGGACTGAACGTGTGTTTTCATTTCCGATTTTAATGCCACCTACAACTCTGTAAGAATTATTTAGAAATAACCTCTCCAAAAAACACAATACCAAATGAGATTTCAGGTAAGAGGAATCTCTATGATGCAAATGTTTTAAACCAAAAGGCTTTATAAACAAATTCTCTGAGCTATATTTCTATATGGTAGGGGACTTTGTTTACCTTGAGGTTTTGACTTAGTAAGCAGCTTAAAAGTAAAGTGTTCTCAAGACTTATTTACTCACACACTCTGGAATATTGGAACACTTCGAATTTTGGATGATACGGTTTGTCGGGTTTTCGAGAGGAAGATACTCTGCAAGATATTATTTATGTGGGAATCATAGCGCATTGAAGACGCCGAATGCCACAGTCACGAATGACTAGTCGGTGGAATAATAAACTGATTGAACCTTCATATAACATTGACAGTGAGCATCGAATCAAACTAAAGAGGCTTGCCTGAAAAGGTGATGTACTATGAATATATTCAAATGCTTCAGCTCTGAAAGTGATTCATGGAAAAATCAGTTTGGGGAGGCAGAGAAAGATGAATATCTCTTCTGTGCAAGATATATAAAACAGCTAATACTTCCAATTAAGAAGCAGATTTTCTGTCTACATTTTTGAGTCTACTTACATTTAAAGGGGCCCAACTTTCTTCTTATATACAATCGACTACCATTAGGCAAATAGTCTACGTGGTGTCTTTATTGTCCCAAAGCTTATGAAGCTTTCTTTGACTACCTTCGTATTAACTCTTGAAAAGTCAGGTTACAATTGGACTAAGAAATCTTTGCCCGTTTTCATTCAAGCATTCTGTACATTTTGCATAGACGCGCACTGCTTCTAGTCAGGGAAGCAGAAAGCATAGTCCCAGAGAGAACTTTTTTTTAAGCTGAGCTCTTCCATATAAAACAGTCACTTCTCAAAACATGTACCGCGGGAAAAGTGCGTTTAAGTTAATAGCTCTTTCTTGTCTAAGTTGACAGAATAAAAGTTCTCTTCAATCGCCACTGGTCTAACAGGGAAATTTTGGCAAAAGTCTTTCGTAAGACATTTGTCCATTCTGGCAACTATCTTGAAAGCTCTTTCCTATCTTTCGAAAGCGTTAAAAGTAAAATTTAAAATTAAAAGAAATTAAATTAAATTAATTAAAATAAAAAAATGGAAAAAAGTTTTTTAAAAACTTTAAAAATTCGAATTTTTAAAACATTAAAATGTTAAAATTAAAAAAAAATAATAATTTAGGAAACAATTAAAAGAAGAAAAAATATACAAATATGAATTAAATTAAATTAGAAGAAAACATTTTTCGCTTTAAAACAATATACGTACTATAAAAATTGAAATAACATTGCATTCAAAAATGGAAAATTAAATATAAAAACTTAAGAAAATTTGTTTATAAAATACCTACAGTATCGGTCATATCTATAGCACGCCATTTCCAAGTGATATTGTGTGCCCCTTTTGTTTATTTATTTATTTTTAAAAATTTTCAATTAAAATTTAGTGCATTCTCAGACAAACCCCATATATACCCAAGTTCAACAATTTGTAGAAAACTACAAAAAAGTGTAACAAATTTTCACCCAAATTTGAAACTTTTTTCCCGGAAGTGTTAGAATTTTTTTGAGTACACAGTTTTTTAGCCCCTGTAATTTTAGTCTGATAATGTGCAAATTTCAAGTGGCTACGAATTACTGAAATTTTTTTAGAATTTTTTTATCGCATTGGCTTCCATATAATGAATAAACTCAATTTACTTGTATATGGAAGAAAACCGCGACGCCTTTGGCGAAAAAAAATCTAAAAAATCAACGGTAACTTTTATCCACTTGAAACTTGCACATTATCAGACTAAAATTGATTGGGCTATAAAACTGTGTATTCAGAAAAATTCAAACACTTCCGAGAAACAAGTTTGAAATTTAAGTGAAAATTTATTGCACTTTTTTGTAGTTTTCAACAAATTTTTAAACTTGGGTTTATATGGGGTTTGTTAGTGAAAGAACTGTATTTTAATTGAAAATTCTTAAAAATAAATAAATAATCATAAGTGGCACACAATATCACTTTGAAATGGCGTGCTATAGATATGACCGATACTGTATGTATAAATGAAATTAAAAAAATATTTTCCTTTTTGAAACAGTAAAATCTATTTAAATTTTTTAAGAAAATTTTTAATTGATTCATTTTTTCCTTTTTAATTAAATTTACGTTAATTTCATAAAAAATTTTAATCAATGAGATCTAAAAATTAGAAGATCCATTTTAAAAAATAAAAGAAAAAGTCTGCTGCCCAGGAATTCGAACCTCGGATCTTTCGAAAGGCACGTGAGAGCTTTGCTCACACGGCCATTGTGCCTGTTAGAGCAGCGCAGCAAAATTATATAAATATCCATTGAGAAAATGCTCAAGTGTTTTCTGTCAAAAGAGCTTTTCAATATGAAAGTTGGCTTACAAAAGACTTTCAACTATCTTAGTCTAAATTGCTTCTCAGTGCAATCAAGACGAGCTTTTACGCGGTACGCGTTTATATATACTAAAAGAAAGCCTTAGACCACTTTTCAGATTAAGCTTTTACTCTGTGCGCGGCCATATACGATATATATACGATAATATATATTTATTTATATATAGCGGTGATGGGCACTGCCTTGCCCACGGGCAAAGTTCTTTTAAGCTTTCCATACAATTTTCATAGGAGCGTGCAGACCAAAGGCTCTCTCTCTGCCCATCGCTGACATAAAGCTTAAAAAAGCTGCTCACGTGGGATATGTTTTTCTCGCGACCGTGGAATAAACTTTGTACAGCTTTCTATATATTTGCAAGGTGATGCACTGAGTAAATGCTCGCTCTGATCATCAACGCGGTTAGTAGACTATGTGGAGCTTTTTTTTGATAACTTCCAAGTTGTGTGGCTTAGAATGTTCGAAGGTGTGTGATTGTGTTGTAAATTTGTGTGCGCAACGCTGCTTGTGGTAATAATATGAGCGCAGTACTAAAAGTAAGATGGACATTGAAAGAGACAGTGGCTATAAGTAGTTTTAACGGTCGATAAAGTCACGTCTGCGACTGCGCCAGCAATTTCAAGTGGTGGCGGCTGCTGCGCCCGGACTACAATGTAGATGATTATAGTTGGCGCTGCAGCTGCCACACAGATTGCTGCAGTGCGGCACCAATCACAATATGTGCTTGATTGGCTTTTGTTTTACTCTAAGTTGATGGAGATTATGCAGGCTGGAGAAGAGATGGATGTACGGATGGATGACAGAGCAAGGAGGAGCGAGACTATGCTCTACAACAGCACTTGCTTTATGATTTGCTTCATGCAGTTTTTGTTTATAACTTCGTTTTGATTGCAGTGCAAGAAAACTGCGAACTCAGCGAAGTCAGTGAAAGAAATTTTAAGATTTTGCAATTAAGTAGAAAAGCGAAAAATCATAAGTAAACAAGCGCGTCTCAATGTCAGCAACAGAAAAAGCTTTCGCTGTCTGCTTAATTTTGGCGTTCGCGCTGTTTCCATGTCGCTCGTAGCACGCGAAATCAGTCGAACTAAAATTTAGTGAGACAAGTATTTGACTTTCGTTAGCACCGCGCGCGCGCTGCGCTCTCTACTTGCCTTCGCTTCACAATTTTAGTCGACTAGTGCGCGCAGTGTTTGTGTTTACAGTAAGCTTATCAAAGCCATAAACTGCAGCTTATCATTATTGTTCTAGAATAAAGAATTTTTATATTTATGCCTGCGAAAAGTAACAACGAGCATTTTATTATGCCATCATTTAGATATATACTAGAGGCACACAAATTTCGCAACCGTGACGCGCCGCGAACGTTTATAGCGACAAGTGAAAAACCCGAAACCGAAAAAGCCAAAAAGTAGCAGTCAAAAATAATGCGCCGCTTATCAGCTACCCCGACCGCCTACTGTTGTTTGAATCATGCACATTTTTTTATATATATTTTCGCAACTGATTTTTCTCCTTTTTCCTTCATTCTCATTCCAGTAACAACTTAGCCATGTCAGTGTTGCGACAGTGAGCTCCACAGCTATACACGCGCGCAAGATCGTCAATTGCTCCCCCCCGAAATGCCCACGGAAAACACATTGCTGGAGGAGCGCGCTGGCGGCGGCTCCATCTCCATGGTACGCCCTACGCGCCTGGAACAATTTTTGCAAGCGCCCGGTGCAGGCAGCGCCTCCGAACAATGTACCGCTTCCAGCGGTCGTGTACCCAGTGGAGCTGCAGCCGCTGCCGCCGCGTACGAAACACAACTCGCTTACCAGCATCATTTGGTGGCGGCGGGTTTGATGAGCGCTACTGGTGGCGCCACCAATGCGCAGACAGCGCATTCCGCCTTCGTACCAGTGTTGCCTTCGCGAAATGCTTTGCGCGCACAAGGCGCTGCCGCCATCTATGGTGGCATGCTCGATGCCGCTGAGGTGGCGAAGGAGGCGAGCAAGCGCCATGGCACCAATTCCAATTTTGAGATCATTTCCATGATGGCGGATAAACGCAAGGAGTTGGCTTTGCGGGAGGCAGCTGCTGCTGCGATGTTGATGCAACGACCGCCCGGGCAGGGACCGCCACTAGGTGTACCGACGGCTGTAATGTATCCACCACCGCCACCACCGTATTTGGGCGGTCCGGGACCGTCACCAACCGGCGCTGGCACCTTCGCATTTCCTTCGGCGGCCGCAACAGCGGCGCTCTTTCCTGCTGGGCTACCACCATCAATGCACGCCGCGCTGGATCGCCGTTTACTGCGCGCGCCGGGACGCGCATCGCGTCCAAAGAAACAGTTTATTTGCAAATTTTGCAATCGTCAATTCACCAAGTCCTACAATCTGCTCATACACGAGCGCACGCACACCGATGAGCGGCCGTACTCGTGCGACATCTGTGGTAAGGCATTCCGCCGGCAGGATCATTTGCGCGATCACAGGTGAGTGGAGTGTTGCAGAGGCTGTACACTTTTTCTGCACTGTCATTTATTTTTTTTAAATATAAGCTGTTTTGTGTTTTTATGTTGTTGTTTTTGTTGTTGCTGTGGTGTGCATCCATCATAAACTGTCAACCGCAAAAAAAAAAACAAAGTTAAAACAATAAAGTCCTACACGCGCGGTACGTGATTGTCTTGCAAACGACGAAATCAAGTTACCTTCGTAGAAAGAATGAGACATGCAAACAAATTATAAAAGCAAGATACGTATATAAAAGCTCATTAAGCGCTCTGCGTTCGAGCTTAACGACAAGGGCACATCGAAAACCCTACGCAACCGTAAAAAACCGCCGACCGTTGCGCACAACACAACAAAGCGGCAATGCAGTGCAGTGCAGCAAAACAACAAAAAAAAAATAGTACTGAAAAATTACCAGCCAGCAAAGGCATTTATCTTACGCGCATACCATGGCCGGTAATCAGCTTTCACGCGGGCGCGCTCGGTTGCGACTCGTTGGATGTGCTTCCCGCGCGCAGAACCTGTTTCCATCTTGGCTTGAATGCCGTTTTTTTCGCTCGGTACGCGCACCGGCCGTTTTTTCTGCCATTAGACTGTCGACTGCGGCTTGGATGGACTATTTGGCAAGCAATCACTGACACTGTGACAGAGCCAGCCATTTTAAGGTGGCTGTTGCGTGGCGATTCACAGCGGCGCTGAAGTGATTCTATTTATGTACTCAGTAATCTACTAGTTTTTTCGGCTGACGCGCACAGGTTGCGTAGATAACATTAATCATTCTTGAGCAGTAGTGCTTTTTATCTTAGCACTATCGGCGAAGTAATTAGGACTTCCTTTGAATTGAAGTGAAGTGTACAGTGACGCGTTTAGGACGAGCTTGTCGCACGCAATCATGCTGTCAGATTTTTATTAATATTAGTATGTTTCGCAGAACTGACAAATGTCGCTTTCGTGGAAGCAATCTTTTCTGACAAAGATTTCACTACAATAAGCACTCCAACTACCTGGATTAGGCGTGGTTTAGAAGGCGTAAATAAAGTCTTTATATTTTAACCGTAGTCATATTTGCACACTTTTAAGTTCTGTCTGTAAGTGCACATTTCTCTGCTAAAGCTTTCCCTGATGCCGCCAGTAAGAGCGCTTAGGACTCGTGCACACAGAAAGTTTATCGCTGAGCTGAGGGATGAACATATAAGCAAGGTGGTAAGCGTTGGACAACTAGCTCACTTCCCAAATACTCTCAGCTGTAATCTCATACATATGTTTTTCATTTGTTTTAGATTCCAAGAAAGGCTTATATGCACTTTGAAAGCAGCTCTTCCTGCTGAATAAGCTCAACTTACAGCTCTGCTATACGTTCATTGTGTGCGCGATCCCTTACTTTAGTACTCTTAATATGAGCTTCCTAGCAATAAAATAGCTCGTGTGACATCAGTGAACAGTTTTCGACTTCAAAACTTCGAGTCCCATTTACTCGTATGCTTTCAAAGAAGCTTGGTTAGCCTTTAAGAGAATCATCCCAGTCTATACTCGAAAGCCTGCCGTCTACTTAAACATTTTTTTGCAATATGAATACCGAACCTGCAGAACCATCGAAAAGAGACAAGACTCCGGTCCTTTCTTCATCCTCGTGCCAACGTTGTAGTTGGTGAATTGGCATGGAATTGTGGATGGCTGGAGAAATCAAAAACAATTTTTCAAAGCAATCAGGCAATATTGTCTGTTGTACTTGCAGCTGGTTAAAATGTTCTTGCCTGTGGCTTTGTGGGCTAGCTTCTGAAAGTTCGGTTATTCTCGTTATATAATCCTTGTTCAATTAAAATAAAGATCGCTGCACGCCCATAATTAGTTTAAAGTTCCTGTAATCTTAGTTTTCGTTCAATCGCGACGCTGGTTATGAAAGCTCCCGGTGGCTGTTAGGGTGCGTTCACACAGAAAGCGGAGCCGAGCCGAGCGAAGCTGTTCCGAGCTAAGTGAAGTTTGTTGAGCGGAAGGCAAAGCAGTTTTTGATTTTGAATTTTCTATTTAATTTTTGAGCTTCATGACGCTTCTGCCAACAAGATATCAAAATATTCAAACAAAATCAAATTTTACGACTAAACTTTTGAATAAATTTGAGCAAATATTTTTGTGTTAGTTTTATAGAAACCCTAATAGACAATCGATTGAAGCGTTTTGAATAACTATTAACCTGCACTTAAGGCTTTTCTACAACGTAGGTATTGTAACACCGCCCGATAGAAATCCATTGTATTCAGGATTCTTAACAGCTTTACCTTGATTTGGATTTAAAGAGATACGTAGTTGTCACTCCCGAGCGTTTAGACTGCTTCCTTGGAGCTTTATAACTTTGAATGCTGCATATCCTTCGGTCAGATATTTCGAGGGAGAACCAATATTATCCCCTTCCACCCAAATAATCATGAAATTATGTAGATTCAAGAACCAGAAGCCCAGACCAATTTCGTAACCTGTCGGGTTAGACAGATCGATCCCATTCAGATGAAAGCGTAGTCCGTTTTGCATTTTACTACGGTTAACCATTTGGGTTTACCTGCATGGGTCTTCCACCGCAACCCAGTACTTAACCCTTTCAACTGTTGCGCAATGGCAACACCACAGGAAGATGTGCACATCTCTAAATATTAACTACCTCCAACCTAATGTTAAATAATATTACCGCCTTAAAGACTTATTTGTCATTATTTTTCAAATTTCGCTCAAATCTATGTTAACGCATTCCAAACTAGAATCGTGTTAGCTAATTCCTCTCGTCACCTCACTGGTTGGGTAGAGCTAGACAATACCAGAAAAGGAAATTCTATCATTTTTAATTTTAGTAAGCATTCGCAGAAGAGCCCATTCCAGAGATGAGGCAGTATTTATGCCTATCTGGTGAGGTCTAAGTGGGAAATATTTCGAATGAATGAGAGCCTGGACATATCCTCTGAAATAATACCTATCACTGCACGGAAAATGAGAGAACAAATTCGATTTATTTACCCAACAAGTAGGTTCCTTGCCCGTGTCGCGTTTTGCAATTCAATGAATGTTGACCTGAGTCGATGTTCGCATGAAGATAGAGAGTATGCAGAGTAATATACCATGAAAAGGTTGGTGCACAACTTAGCCAAAAGGTAGTTCCTTCTTCTACCATATTTTTAGTTTTGTGCCATCAGTAAAAATTGTGGTGGACCCTGGATCTAGGGCGTTTCATTGCAGAATTTCTTGTCTGTGTTTTGAATAAGATTCCCATCATTAGCAGTCTTGCACCCCTTCCTGTTTGGTTCCATGTATTTTGGAGTTTTCTCCAGCCGGCTGCCATACATGATCTTATAAAAAAGTACGAACTGGAAACCCAAAAGGTACATACTATTCCGATAGTGGTGGAGTTAACGTTGAGACTAGCTGTTCGCGAAATAGCTGGCGTTCTGGAGAAGTTTGCTTTAAGTTTACTGCAATGGTCCAGAGAGGACTACTCCCTGAGGTGTACTTCTCGTTACTTATCAAGTTCTGGACAATATTTTCTTACTAAATAGCTCAAGGAAGTGTGCCTTAAAGCAGAGTTTGAAATCTTTTAGCAGTATAACCTCTTTGCAGTACAAGTTCTATACAACTCATCTAATTCTAAGTTCATTTGACGACGTCATTGAATCAGCGAGCGGATACCTTAAACGTTATAAGTAGATATAGGCAGGGAGCGAAAAAGTTTTATGAAATAAATCTTTGTGCAGTCGTTCATCGAGGGGATAATTAGTTCACAAGTAGACTCTACAAAATATGTCCACTAAATATAATAGGTTGGTTTTTAGTCGGTACAAGATGAAGCTTCAAATAAGATCTTTAGTTAGGCTAACTAAATCACTATCGCAAAGGCGAAGACACTGTGCTGGTAAATCAGAGCTCCCTTGAATTTTTTTATTAATGACGGTTGCAAAAGTTTGCGGGAGTGTTGAGGGCGCCGCGCACAAACATCTACCCTGATTACACCAACCACCTTTGCTTTTGCGCCACACTTAATGAGCGCTGCCCAGCCAGCAACAACAAAACTCCAGACACAATGCAATTATTGTAGACTATGCGCATTCATAGATACTCTTTTTTTACAACTTCATTAGCATTTTCCTTTTTGCTGTTATTTATATTACTCGCCCGAAGGCAGACTCATAAACACATTTCATTGCTTTTCCCCACACAGATATATACACTCCAAGGAGAAGCCATTCAAATGCACCGAATGCGGCAAAGGTTTCTGCCAATCGCGTACGCTGGCCGTTCACAAGATCCTACACATGGAAGAATCGCCACACAAGTGTCCCGTTTGCAGTCGCAGCTTCAATCAGCGCTCCAATTTGAAAACGCACCTGCTCACGCACACCGATCACAAGCCCTACGAGTGCTCTTCCTGCTGCAAAGTCTTCCGCCGTAATTGTGATCTGCGTCGTCATGCGCTCACGCACGCCGTCGGTGAAGTGCCTTCCGAGTATGTAGATGTGGGCGAGGAAGATGAGGGCCGCCACCTGAGCGGTGATGAAGAGGATACTTTGTTGGAAGTAGATTCACCGCGACAATCACCGATACATCGACTGCATAGCAGCACACCAACGCAAGCGCTCGGCGGTGGCAGCGCAGCGGATGCAGAGACGGCAAGTGAAAATGCGCGCGCAGCTGCACGTATGCGCCTAAAGCGCAAAGCTTCTTACGATGCGGGGGAAATCTCAGATGAGTCAGAAGAAGAGTTAGACGAAGATGATGAATTGGATGAGACCCAACTGGAGGATGCAGAGCTGGACGACGAAGATGATGAAGTGCAAGCGGAACGCAATAATCCGAACGAAGGCTTGCTGGAGCCCAGACCTACTGGGCAGGGTGTGACGCATTGCCATCATGAAGGTGGTGAAACGTATACAATGCGTCCAACACACGAAATGCGTGATTCATACGATCCCATACAGGCGGCTAACTCACCGCATGCATTATGCGCGCCACCACCACCCGGTTCCGCTTTCATGCCGTCTTCGCCAAGCGCGCGCTACAATCCAATGCGCGCGCTACCCGGCGCCGGCGAGTCCATACATTCGCCGTCAACATCGAATGGACCGGAACCTTACATACCAATGTTGCACGTACGCAGAGATCTCCATCCTAAAGCGCTGCTGCTGGTAGGCGCTGAAATGAAGGGCGGCGTTAGTATGTTGCCGCCTGGTGTGATGGTAGCAACGGCAGCGGCAGCCACACCACCACCACAACAATCACTGCCACCACCACCGCTAGCTGCGCCCACAATCGCGCTATCGCCTGGCGCCCCACCAGCAGTAGTGCAACCGTCGCCGCCACCCTTGCCGCCGCTTGTCGAGCCCGGAAAGAATTTACAGCAGCCGCTACATTCACCGCTCGAGTCAATGCCCAGTTTTCTTGGCTCCATACCCATACGAAAGCGCATTGTTGGATTCGAGCAAATGGCAGAAGCGCAACGAGCTTACAGCGTAACAACTAATGCCGGCATGTTGGCGCTCAACATGTCACGTTCGCATGCCGCCATGAAAGGGCTACCGCCACCGCCAACGCCGCATACACAACCTACACACACGCTACTGCCCAGTAAGGCATATCTGGCCAGTCAATCGCCGCTTTTAGGGGAGAAATCTGTGGGAAACGGCGCCAGCGGCGTTGCTACGAACAGCGCGCCTACAGACGGCTTAACGCATAGGGGCAGAGAAACCGTAGGTGCTGGGGGCACGTCAGCAGTAGCAGCGTCTCACTTGCCGAGTGGCAGCGGTGAACGTCAATTTTTGCTGCCGCCAGCCAGCGCAGTGAATTTGAATACTCAGGAGTCTTTAGCTGGTGGCAGTGGTGCGCGTTCAATAATATCGGCAGCGTCTGCAACAATAACATCGCGACAACAACAGCCGCCGCCGCAGCCGCAGCCGCAGCAACCACCAGCTCCTACGCGTCGCACTGGCTTCAGCATAGAGGATATTATGCGGCGCTGAATTGACTACGATTGAGACCACATGCTCTCCTTGGTTCAGGCCAGTGGTTGTTTCCTATGATTTGCTTGCTTTTTCATGCAGTACTTGTATTTTGCAATGATTTCTTTAAGAAAATTAATAATATATTTGACTAAGAAGTAGTTTAAAATTTAATCGAAAATCCTCAAGTGCCTTCTCATGTATTGATGTATGTATGTATGTATACTTATTCTAGTGCCTTAAAGCTAATCGTATACATGTTTATTTGTACGAGTTTGCTATACTATGTACTTTCAGTTAAGATTTCTATAAAACTTGGTTAAAATTTAAATTATATAGCGCATAAATAATGTAAATATAACTTCAATATCATCGTGAGATATGTCTGTTTTATACCTACTAGCCGGGCACTTAGTGCTCTACTAAAATGATATCAATATTTTAAACATAAATACTACGTAACTATATATAATATTATGATAATTGGCACAGGATATCTGAATATAAATTTGAAAGAAATTAACGCCGGTATGAGTAACTTGTTGGTTAGGTAATAATTTAGATACAGTTTTATGGCAGTGGATCTCTAAATGATGAGCAAAAGACAACTTAGTCTCATTCTTTAGAAACACTCTTGAGAGACCACAGAGAGTTTTTTCTTGTACTCTTTAGACCGGTGATGGGCACTGCCTTGCTCGCAGGCAAAGTCCTTTTAAGCTTTCTATACATTTTGTATAGGCGCGTGCAGAGCAAAAGCTCTCTCTGCCCATTGCTACTTTAGACTATAACTGCTCACCATAGACGACCAACGAAAGCTTTTGCCCTTTGTCGAAAGCTCTAATAAGCGTACACTGCATCCATGCAATACATACAGAAGGCTTTAAAACGCTATACACACGGGCAAGGCAGGGCATTCGCCTTTTATAGACCTGTGTCAAGAGCTTTTTTAAGCTTTCTATGGACGAGCATAGTCAAAAATCTCCCTTTGGCTGGCACTAGCATACACCAGTAATGATCGTGCAGTTTAAACTACAAGTTGTAAACTGAAATACTATCAGTTTGCCTTTTAGCTCAACTCAGTACATAGTTCATCTTGAATATGTTTTCCCGACTAGCCACTGATATTCATAGCATGACTATGTCTTATGAAATGTCAATTGTTAAGTAATGCATCAGATCTAACCAGTAGAAGTAGCAGTAACGTAATACCAAACGGGCATGAGCTTGCTATCTTAGAACCAGACTACGCCCTAATATCGTCTAGTGTCTGGATGAAGTTGCCCAAATAAATATGAGTTTCTTGACAGTATCAAGCCACACCTTGCGTTGACAACCTAATTTTTGTAGAACAAATTTCCTTAGTTAAGATCTGTCTCAACAGAGCCTGGTTAACTTCAGGCTCTTCAGTGCAGCGAGATCAGATGAGCCCTATCTATCTGGAACACAGGTTCTCTATAGTTAAAAAGACGTAGCAGATCTGGCTAGATCTTTGAAAGGAAAAAGGTGCAGTGGACGGCAGAGTCTTTCGAACCCTTTAAATCTGCTGCTGCTGACGAGTTTTTTCCATTTCTACTAAAAAATAAGATATAAAATTATACTGAGATTCCTTATTTTGAATCTGGAGTAAAGCCTAAGAGCAGGCTCTGGTCTCTCGTCACTCCCCTACATCCCATCGTTAAAAAGTCAGACGCCTCAGAAAAATTTCTTTAGAAACCTCAAAAGGGTAAAAAATAAAGACACGAAATTTTCTGTTTCAGATTTTTACTAAATAAATACGAATGTGAAACCTCCATAATTTAAAAGTCCTTCTAGAGGAAAACTTAATGAATTTTAAATCATTTGATGGTTGCACGAATCTACAGATTCGACTATAATGGTAACTAGAAAAGCTTTTGGTCGAATTATTATAAGCTTAAATTCAGTAGGATAGCCTCAAAAAATTACAAGTATTACAGAGAAGTAATTTAAAATTTAGTAATTGAAAGTATAAATAAAAACTTACATATTTTAATATGAAATAAAAAATTGAATAAAAGAAAATTAAAAAATTAAATACAATTAAATTAAATAAAAAGAAAATAAATAAAAACATGCAATAATAAAATAAATGCAGCTTTAACTTCTACCTATATGTATTTTTTGATAATATGTAATTTTTTCGTAAAAAACGGCCTCAAGCTCAATACCATTGTTGAATATAATTGTTATAAAGGCCATAATAAAAAAAAAAACAAATAGAAAAAAATAAAATAAGACAAAATAAAATAAAATAAAATAAAATAAAATAAAATAAAATAAAATAAAATAAAATAAAATAAAATAAAATAAAGTAAAATAAAATAAAATAAAATAAAATAAAATAAAATAAAATAAAGTAAAATAAAATAAAATAAAATAAAATAAATACAAATAAAATAAAATAAAATAGTATTAAAAATAAAAATAGAATAACAAGCTATAAATTACAAATTAAAAGCTTGAAGCTAAACCAAATGGTCCAGTAATAAATTTCTTAAAGAAAACCATTCCATGAAAAATTAAAAAATGAGAATATTTCGAAGCCAGCTGTAAATCGAACAGCTTCTTATTTCGGGCCAGTAAAGGGTGGGGCACTCGTTTAAATATAAATAAAAAATTAAATTTAGACAAAAAATTAAATAAAGAGCTTTAAAGATGAAAATCTATAAAAAAAAAATAAACCAAGAAAATTTTTAAATCTAAAAGTAGAAATTAATGAAAAATTGGACGGAAAACTAAAGAGGAAAAATTGGGAACACTAAATAATGTGGGAACAATATCGAAATTAACACAATTAATATAAGAATTTGTGAAATAAAGGTAAAATAAAATAAAAAAATAATTAACAAATAAAGAATTATAAATGAATAAATAAAAGAATTTAAGTTATATAAGACAGCTTCAAAAATAAATACATAGATAAAGAAGATAAATAAAAATATAAAATTAAAATAAAATTTAAAAGACAACACTAATAGACCATCAACTGCAGACGGCAAAAAAAAGCATTAAAAAGTATGAAAATTACATTTTTTTTTTAATTTAAAAGCTATTTTGCAAAAAAAAATAAAAAAGCATAATATAAAAAAATTTAAGTTTGATATAATATTAAATATATATATCCATTCTAACCTAAAGGGAGCTACATTTATATTAATGAATGAAATTACATTTAAGGTAATTAATTAAAGTTTAAGAAGTTTTTAAGAAAAATTTTATTTTATTTAAGAAATTGAAAAAAGACGCTGTCCTATTGACAAAATACTTACCTACAATTGTATACAACTACGGAAAATATATTTGTGCGTTCATACATATGTACTAAATACGAGTACATAAAAAAATATTTGATAGACTATTTTAAACTAAGCTTAGCATTCCATGTGTCTTCCTCTAAACTAGCTTATAAGCATTTCTTTAAATATGATAAATAAACTACATGCTGAAAATTGTAATTTGAAATTTAATGTTTTTTTTTTTTGTTAAGGAGTTATAAGATTAGTGTGGGTATTCACTTATACTGAAATGAGGCACGAAAAAATTCGAAAACATTGAAACTAATTGTAATAAAATTTAGGCTTTCGACTAAGCATAGAAATTCCTCTAGGAATTTACATACATACAAATACCAAGTACTTTACATTCTTGGTATTCATTACTGAAATATGTATGACGACGTATTTATTTATTGCAAAAAGTCACCCATCTTTTCAACACTTACTTAAGCACGTACTTTTTTAAAGTACATACATACATACATACACCTATTTGCAACTCCTCCCCATTTATGTACTTCAAGTACTAGCGCAAAAAGGCACGTATTAATGCCATCATCGCGCAATTAAAGTGAATTTAATAAAATAAAATTGTAATGCCTTGAAAATATGCGAAAATCACTCACTGAAGGCGACAGACAGTCCATGGAGCACAACAGTCACTCAGCCAGCCAGTCTCAGTTACTTAGTTATTTGATTATTTATTCACTTTTGTCAAAAGACAAATTTGTTGCCATTATTGGCGGTTTTCACCCGCAGCGCAAAGATAGCATCTGCCACATGCAACAATGGAATCAAAATCAACAATAATGAGCAGCATAGCATTGACTGAAAAATACGTGTCATGCATTACAATTAATTTTATAGTGGTACTTAGCAATTGCTTTCGTGAATTAGGGCGGGTCGTAAATATAATTTTCCCAAATCTCTTGGAAATAGTGAAAATATATATTGTATAATGAGGTCAACCACAAAAGGCCTGTAAAAAGCACACTGGTCGAATAAGATGGAATCTTGTTGAAAATTCAGGGTTCAGCAAAAAGGTTTGATGCGTTTTATTAGATAATGAATCCGCAAACGCAAATGCCAAGGTCGAATATCACTTCTGGCAGCCCCTTAATTTTTTGTCACTCTTAAACTTATCCTTTTTCAAACAGAAATTTTAATTTTTCTGTTGACAATTGCACTGACCTATTGTGAAAAGATGTAAAGAACAGCGTAAATTGTTCAACATTACTAGCCTTATTTTTAATGGCGATTTCAAATCTGTGATTGAAATTTCTCTATCAGCTCTAGTTTAGCAAATATGATACAGAGTGTTTCGCATTTTTTTCCATACAAAGTATTTTCGATTTTTTTTCTTTGTATGGATGGAACTGCGTAAAAAATGGCCACAAATCAACAGTAATTCCTAACTACTTCAAACTTGCAACTTGCTGTAATAAAATTTATTGGGCTGCAAAACTGCATACCGAAAAAACTCTAAAAAATCGGGTTAAAAAGTTGAAAATTTGCATGCAAATTTATTGCGTTTTGCACAAACTTTAGAAATTATATTATTATTTTTTTTTTTTGTTGTAGTATGAACCATATTTTTATAAAAAATTAGCGAAAAAATTAAGTTTAAAAAACTTTCTTTTATAAGATTTCCTTGCAGACGTTGCGGCCAGAGAGCTGTCCCGAATCCTCCATACAAACATTCGAAAAACTAAAAACTTTTGAAATAAATCTCGTCTAATTTTTTTTTTAATTTTTCATTTGGTTAGGCTTTATGTCAACAGCAATATACCCGAGTATGTTTTGCGTTTTCAAATCGCTATATCTCGGAAATTCCTGAAATTTCATGATATCCTCAAGAAAAGTGTTTTACACTAATTCCCAATATCCTGAGATGCATTTGAGCACCTGGGTCCGGCATTTGGCCATTTTTCGCTTTCAACTCCTTACGTCAACAGTTGCATATCCGGGTATGCATATGAAAATGCGTGCAAATATTTTGCTGCAATTGAAAAGTAAACTTTATTGCGAGTCAAATTTTAAAAATTGTACAAAAATGACGATATTATAAGATAAGCTACATTAAATAAAAAATATGAATAAATTGGAAACTATTAAGCTTTTAACTACATCTATTTATTGCATTACGGCTTATTAGTAGAATGTTTTGCACACACGGGTCTTTTGCACGATATGTAGACTTTCCTTACCGCACGTCTTTTGGCGCGTATATTAGCTCTAACATACATCTATTTCAAAACTTATTTGAAACTTTTGGCCATCGTGTAACTGGTGAAGAAGTAGTCGCGATTAATATTTCATTCACTTCCGCGGAAAAGATTGGCGCACAACTCCCCCATCCACCACTCTTTCACCTAGGTTTGTTTCCCGTAAACCGGACGCCGCTTTCCTTATAGATTTGTCCTTTCAATTGATAAGAAGCGGATTCTCATACCCACCACACTTTTATTCCATATTTAACAGGTTTTGGTGGTATATATGGTGTGAAACCAATTTCACCAGGGAGAGGATGCAGTTGCTCATCAACAGTGGCGTTAGCTGCTGCAACATTGCTGTTGATTATCAAAAAAAAAAAATATTAATCGGCTTACACTCATTGCAGCACGACATATCGGATTTGAGGTGTTTTTTTTTTTTAAATCTACATATATCATGAACTTAACCGGAATGTGTCCCATCCCTTAAGTATGTAGCAAGATAAGACCCACATACGCATCAAATTGACTTCTTGTTAGGGTTTTCTATGCGCGCTGTTCTCTTGTTGGATTTTGTGTATTTTCATGTTCTTGACAATGGTTTCACGAATAATGATCTGAGCATGTTGCGGGTAGAGCAGACCAAATTGTTTCACCTTTTCCAGTTTCCTCGGTTTCACCTGGTAAATCATCATGTTCTTCATCATCTTCCAATTTCATCTTCCGGATCGTATCCTGGTTTACTGGATTATAGAAGCAATCTATCGGAGTCATCTGGAGTCATTAATTAATTAATTAATTAATCTTCGTTATCGTCCACCATCTCCTCAGTTGCCAAGGCCTCATCGTCACTATTTTCCTCTCGTAAATCTCTAATTTCTGACGAAGGTATTCTTGCGGTTCCTCAGGATCAAGGGCACTAATTTGTCATGGAGTGAGCCATTCACCATCTGCCATTTTTACTTTTATAAATTTAATTTAGTTGTGTAACACTTGATAGTTAGATAATAAAAACACTTTATAACTTCAGTCTCCGAATTCCCACAACATGGAATATAAGAAAATGTCAGAGCTTAAGTGCTTGTTTGCCTACTGGTTCTTCAGGTCGGTGATTTACCACTTCTTGCACAACATTTTTTTTTTATGAGATACTACATTTAATAATGTTTCGTATTATT